GACCGTGCAGATGACATTCCCAGCATCCTTTCCTTTCTACACTCTGAGCATTTCACCAACACACCCATCACTCCACACAACCAAATCATGAACAAAGAAATGGGGTTCCCATCCAGAGTCTGATTGTAAGATTTAGAAATACTTGGAAAAACAGAGAATTAGGTAGAACTAAGAAAGGAGAAGAAGGTCTCTATGCAACCAATCAGAAAGCAGTATGAAAGTTGGCAGCTCAGAGGACACTGAGGATGGTGAGCCTCAGCTAGGAGCAGTGTTGTGGGCATGACTGAGGAGCAGCCATGCTGTGGCTCCGTCAAGCCTTGGGTCTTCTCCCCAGCTTAGGAGCTTGGCCCTCCTGTAGGGTGTTGGGAGGTTGTTGGATCTAAGAGGTGGAGTCTAGTGGGAGGTCCCAAGCCTGTCCCATCTGTGTTCTGGCTTCCTTTCTCTTAATGTGGCCTCCCCCTCTAGCAGGCACTTCCACCATAGTGACATTGCTGTAGAGGGGATACAGACAGGGTCTATCAGGTAGTTGTCTAGAGCATCCCCTATCCTCAGTCCTCTGAGCTGCACTGAAGAAGAGGTCACTTTGTCAGGCTGTCATGGACCATGATGAGCTCCTGCAACTTCTGCTCTAGGTCCTGAGCCTGCTGCCGCAACTCTGCAGCGGACTCTGACTTTGCACCCTCGTACAAATGCTTTGAGTCTTGTACAAGGATGACCACATCCAGCAACAGGAAGAGACCTGCAGTAGCTGCACCCATGATCCGGGCTCCTTTGGACATTGCCAGAGCTGTGCCTCCAAAGGCTTTCTGCACCTGTCTAGTGTTTCGGGTTGACACCCTCCCTGTGGTCATGAGATGCTTGGCATTAGATGCTAGGCGAGAGTTAGTTTTGGCCAGCCTGATGGCATCAATGTTCTTCTTGATGACTTCCAGGTTCCGGAAGGAATTCTTGGATACTGAAAGAAGCCTGGGGGTGCTCTCCTCCAAAATTTCTTTAATGACCTTCCCTGGGTCCTTGCTGGTTGGCACCAGCTGGCTGGCTTCAGCTTCCACAGAGGCCGTTCTGACCTTTTCTACAATGGTTGTGGACACACTAGTCACAGCTGCTCCCACCCCCAGCCCCAAGCCTGTGGCTGAAAGTCCCAGACTGAGTCCTGCTGTCACAGGTGCCAGAGCGAGACCAAGGATGGTCAGGACTCCCGACACAGCACCAGTGGAGCCGGCCACCACTTGTGTGATGGTGCAGTCCCTGTGCACCTTGTCAATCTTGTCTGCAAGGGCGCGCAGCTTCCCGATCTGCTGCTCAAGCTCCAGTTTCACCTGAGGATAAACTGCCAAAAACCTTTTCTTCTCCTTCAGGTCATTTTGGAGGTTGTCTTCATCTTCTATATCAGTATTCTCTATGTTCTTACCAAGAGCTTCACACCAGTCATCTGTCTTTTTCCTGTGACAGGAGAGGACATGTAAGTGAGGAAGACAGCTTGTAGTTTAGATCTGTCCTGTGGAAATCACAGAGCATCTGCTCTGAATGAAATAGCGGAGAGTATTACAGTTGTATGGGATCTTTCTTACAGCTATGACAAGACTTGACACACCACAATGTCTATAATTGTTAAGGTGACAGTGAGTTAAAACCCATCCTAATGTGTCTTTTTAATTTTTAATTTTATGTGTCCGAGTGTTTTGGCTCTCTCTCTCTCTCTCTCTCTCTCTCTCTCTCTCTCTCTCTCTCTCTCTCTCTCTGTGTGTGTGTGTGTGTGTGTGTGTG